CTGCAGCGAGCTTTGTGTTGTGGACTCTAGTTTGCATGTTACAGTGACAAGCCGTTATGTAGCACAGTACAGCAGTGTCCTCGCTTTTCCGGGCCTTCGGGCCGGGGGGCACTGCCTTTTGTTTGGACCTCGTAATAACCGAGGTGCGCTATGCGCCAGGCTGGAGAGCCCGCCTAAATACTCTGACCGCCTAGCGAGGATCTTCTTGCTGCGTCCGGAAGAAGAAGCAGTAGCAGTAGCAGTAGCAGTAGCAGTAGCAGTCGCAGTAGTCGTCGTCGTTGTCGTCGTCGTCGTAGTAGTAGTAGTAGTAGTAGTAGGAGTGGTAAGAGTAGTAGTTGTAGTAGTAGTAGCAGCAGCAGCAGCAGCAGGAGTAGTAGTAGTAGTAGTAGTAGTAGTAGTACTAGGAAGTAGCACTAGGAGTGGTAGTAGTAGTAGTTGTTGTAGTAGTAGTAGTAGTAGTAGTAGTGGTAGTAGTAGTAGTGTTGTAGTAGTAGTAGTAGTAGTAGTAGTAGCAGTAGTAGTAGTAGTAGTAGTAGTCGTCGTAGTAGTAGTAGTAGTCGTCGTCGTCGTTTTCGTCGTCGTCGTAGTAGTAGTGGTAGTAGTAGTAGTAGTCGTAGTAGTCGTAGTAGTAGTAGTAGTAGTAGTAGTAGTAGTAGTAGCAGGAGGTAGTACTAGGAGTGGTAGGAGTAGTAGTAGAAGTAATAATAGTAAGAAGAAGGGTCATTAAAACAGTTTTAAGTCCCCTAAACCCTAAACCCTAAACCCTACTGACTCAGAGCCAGATCGCGGCTCCTTCGGCTCGCGGCCGAAGCCGAAGCGGAGCGCAGCGCCGCCCAGCGGCGCACACAGAGCGTCGGGGTGCTCGGCGCATTTTTTGGGGGTTTAGGGTTTAGGGTTTGGGGTTTAGGGCTTAGGGCTGCCGGGTTTTGATGAGAGTTTCCCTAACCCTCCAGGTACCTTCTATAAAGGGCCCTAGGGGCGGGTTAGGGTTTTAAAGGGTTCTACAAGGGTGTCACAAGACAACTTGACAGTGAGCCGTTTTTAGAGCTGAGGCTCGTACGGAGTGTTTAGGGTTTAGGGTTTAGGGTTTAGGTTTAGGATTTTTGTTTTAGGGTGGGATTAGGGTTTAGGGTTTCTTCAGGTTTTGCAGGTTTTTGGGTTGGGTTATTCAATGGTGTGCGGGTTTTGGTTTTAGGGTTTGGGGTCAAGGTGTTAGGGCCTCTAGGGTTTGGGGTTGGGGCCAGGGTATAGGGTTTCAGGGGTGTTGTTGAAAGGCTGTTGACGGTTTAGCTTCTAAGTCCTGGGTCAAGCGGACCAAGTCGAGGGGTAAACCCGCAAGCATCGTATCTGCTGCTCACCTTCAGGCACGTGGACTCGCCGGGTCCGAACAGCAGAAGGTTTCGCAATGGCTGCTGTTCTTTTGAGTTCTTGTGGGATTGCATGCGGGCTCCTGGCGAAGGGCTGAGGGATTAGGCGAGATTAGTGCTGAGGTTCATGGTTTGAGGGTTAACGGCCTTGGGTTGCAAGGGTGTTCGAGTTAGTGCAGGGCGGGGCTCAACCATTATCAATGACAAGGTGAGCACTTGGACTCTCAGCGGGCATGCTTCTGAGTGATATGAGGCTTATAGTTTCAATGCAGCCATGCAGCGCTGACATCATATTATGTCTCGTATGGTGAACTGCGCGAGCGAGACAACTCAGTGTTGGTTGAACTTACCCGGTTGACTACATATCGTCATATATGCATATATATAATTATACATACAGAAACACATCAATCACTCTTTATCTATGTGTTTGTGTACCGATCCATCTATCGATCTATTTATCTATATGTTTGTGTATAATATGTTGTAGTGCGTTTATTCCTTGTGTCAGTAACCTCTCCCCGGGAAGCCCGGCTGTTGTTGTTCAGGAAAGCCTGTCTAGTTGCTTAATTAGAAGTCAGTACATTTGATGATGAGGATCTCTGCTTGAGAGCTCTGGTTCCCCGATCCCAAACCATACCCGAACCCTCGCCACTCTACTTTCGCCCGTAGTTTGCCAGTCCTTCCAGACAATACTTACAGGGCCCCTATGTAAGCATAGAATAGTTTGAGGGCTGGCGAAGTACATCCTGAACGCTCTAAGCTCTAAACTGTAATTGGCTCAGGTTTATCGGCACTGAAGGGGACGTACACTTGGAGTTGTTCGAACTCCCTACGCCCTACACATCCCTACACCCCAAACCCCTGAACCCCTAAACCCAAAACCTAAACAAGACCTCAATCGTATTTTCGGCTTGCTTGCTATGACTGGCATCTTCGATCTTCCAAGAGATAGCCAATAGTGGCCTGACTGACAGACTGGAGCTGGTAGCTGGAACCATGCCTTCTGCATAATCGTTGCGAGAGGCAGCACAGAAGTTCATCTGTGGACATGATGAGTTGCGAGGCTGTTTGCGTGATCTTGCGTGTCTGTTTGTAACGGGGCTTCCTGTCTGAAAGCATGGGAAGACGTGTGTAGTCGTTCCTTTATCGTGGACACGTGCGTGCATCGCCGCTCTTTTGGCAAATTTGGCGTCGGGTATTTGACTGCGCAGGGTTGACGACTTGAGTCAAGCACCAGAACTGGTTACTATGCGATGGTCTTAGACTACAGGGTCAGTAACCTGCTGTTGGTGGCTGTGAGTCGCAAGTTTACAACCCTTGATATGTTCAAAGTGGTACCCAAAAAGGTACTTCAGGGCCCAAGTATATACCATGCAGGTACATGGAGACTTACGGTTAAGGGAATGTCTACTCCGGAGTCTCCGCTTATCTGCCTGATCAGTGCCTTTGACCGGCAATTATCCTAGGTAGTATTAGGGAGACCCTTAAAGGGGACCCTTCTTAATCCTACTGCTGGCTCTAGGGTCTACAGTAGTCTATATCCCCAAGGGTCAATCCTAATTCATAAATTAAGCCATTGAAGCTGCCTTCTCCTATCCCTTAGAGGATTTGTCTCTGCGAAATCCCTAGATGAATCACGGACCCTAGGATTTATTAGACTTACGTATAGACACAATATAATGTACCATGTTACTTTAGCATAGAGTAGAATAGAATAGAATGGAATAGATTTGACCAGTCGTCCGGAGTATCCCAGCATGTGTGTCTCTGAGAGAGAACAATCGCAAAGAGGCGACGAAGACAGCAAGAATAACGGATCATACGTTGTGAATACAGTGCTATATGTAGTTATTTTAATCCGCATGTAGTTATATCTGCAGGTCAAGGCTAGAAGGCTGCCGGGCAGCGAAGCAAAAGACAGGCGAGAAAGACGTTTGCCAGGCATTTTGGCCCAATCTGGAGACGACTAGTCGTACCCTTGAGTGAAACCCAAGGCAGCTTGACATAGGGACCTCAACTGTTGGAAAAGTCTTTGGGGTGTAGTCTTGTCAATCTATAGTAAGAATCCCTGAGGACTACCATTCATAATTATTCAGGCTTCTATAGTACTACCCGATACTACCCGGATCAAAAGAAGCAAAGTCCCAAACCCCATCCGTCACACCATTCCCTGCTGCAGAACTGTCAATCCAACTTCAAGACTGTGAGATGGCGGCCCAAGCAGCTTAGCAGCTGTTGGAGGGGCTGGCAGAGAGGGCTTCGGTTCAGGGCTTACCTGTAGTCTCCATTGTAGTTCCTTTCTGGGGATACCTTATAAAATCCTTAATATAAAATTGGTAAAACCAAAAAAAGGAACTACAATGGAGACTCAGGTCGAAAGTTCCAGCCCAAAGTGCAGTTGCCTGTTCATCATGGTGCTACTATCGGTCCCAACACCGCTCAGATGCGGTCAAGATCGCAGCTCGCAATGTCCTTCACAATGTTAACCGTATTCTTTAGAGTTGGCGCGTTGTTGATTTCTTCGGTAAGAAAGGAAACCGTGATAAAGCATGGTACACAAAATGTACTGCACAAGGACATCTAGATGTCTCGCGCTCACAGGCAAAACCAGCATTGTGACAGCGGACACGCATCATCGCAACTGTCGCTACGAGCTTAGTTCAGAGCAGCTGGTTACATTACATTGGCAGCGGCTGCTGACTTTTGCTATCTTTCGCTACCCTGTACTCGAGATGCCCATGGTAGCATAGCTTGGGTGACCTGTGCAGTTGGAGAAGTGAACTCTTGAAGCCTGGACCCTAGCTAGGGGCAGGGGCCCAAACCCCAAAAGCCTTGTAGTATAGTGTAGTCAATTATATTCTAGTATAGTTATAGTATAACATATTACAACATAGTAAGGTATAGCATAGTATAATGAAGCAAAGTAGAGTGCGCAGTAAGAAGGCTTATACGAGTTTAGCACACCTATAGTCTCCATTGTAGTTCCTTTTGGGGGTTACCTTATAGGATCCTTAACATAAAAAATGGTTAAACCATTGGGATATGAGATTCGGAAGTGAACTCGGCGGAGCGAAGGTTTCGCTGTTACTATTGGGGCCGTCACCTTGGACTAGGTACTTTTGGCACGCAATAGACGATCATTATATGAAAGAGGAACCTTAATTAAGGTGAGAGTAACAGGCGTGTGGGGCAAACTACAGGATGCTTTATATAGGAAACTCGGTCGTAATGATAGCAGGTCTGGGGTACATGATACGATTAATCATAATCAGGATTCTACACGGGATATGAGTCTTTCTGTTGTAAATAGAATGAGGAGCCCTGAGGAAAGGAATACGCCTAGTGGCTTAGTAGCTACTTCTGCTTCTGCATTATAGTTTAGGGCTTCGGGTTTATAGAACTCTGATAGTAGCACATCCTAAACCCTAAACCCTAAACCGGAGCTGAAGCCGAGGAGCAGCAGAGACACGAGCTAGCCGCACCCCTGGTTTGTGATGCGATGTAGAGGGTTTAGGGTTTAGGGTTTAGGGTTGATTCATGGGCTGTGGGAGGGTGTAGGATTGCGGGTCTCAGGGTTGTGTAGACACAGGGAATTTAGGGCTTGAGGAGTCAACCCCAGTTTTCAAGGGGTGGCTTTGCATAGCCGAGTATGCTGCTAAAGATTGTTGGCGGCGGGATATGCTGCTGTGTTCTGAGATAACTTCTGAGGGATAACATCGGGGTGCCGAAAGCCTTATTATGTTTCTTCAGCTTTGTGTCCATGTGGAATCGCCGGTTGCGTGTATGTTTGTGCATGTGGCGTTTGCTAATTTTGTCAGGACTGTATGCGGTTCAGGGTTCAGGCTACCCTACGTTCCGGCCAGGCAGCATGTCAATCAGTCATACGTCTAGATACCGTTCGCTTGCGTTGGGCGCAACGCCCACTCCCCTAAAAACACCTTAAACCCTAAACCGAACGCTGAACCCAAAGGCAACACCACACAGCCTCATGTCTCGCAAACTTTGAGCCCCTTTCTTTCAATCCGAACACGCATTCAAGGGGGCTAAGCCGTGAGGCGCCTTGTCACGTAGAAGCCTAAATGGTTACCAATATTATTCCTTAGGGTTCCTTTTTATGAGTTTACTGAAAAAGAGCTTAGCACCCCATTCTAATTATTAAGGCCCCTACATTACCCATATAGGATATTATATACTTCGGCCTTAACGTAGTCGCTACACAGGTACATTACGTCAGACCTAAGTATATAACAATGTAGCTACATGAAGCCTTGGGGAAAGGCTTCGGTCGCAGCCCAAAAGTTCGTAGAATGGCGCGTCTTACCCAAACCCTGTAGACTTTCAGCCCTAAGCCCGAAGCCTTAAACCGACTCATGTAAACCCTAAACCCTAAACCCCTAAACCCTAAACGGTACGCCCACAACCTGTAATCACCCTAAACCTCAAACCCCTAAACCCAAACAAAGCTTTGAAGCCGAAGCCGATAGCCGGAGGCCTGGCAAACAGAGCGCGATGCTCTGATCCTGAGACAGGCGGCAGGATTCCCAGAGACAGGAGTTAGTAGCTGAGCCGCCTTCTGTGTGCATATACATACATACATAGATCTATATATATATATATATGTATACAGTGTGCGTGTTGATGTATACTACATACATATGCATCCGTCTATCTATCTGTCTATCTATCTATCCATCCATCTATCCATCTGTCTATCCATCTGTCTATCCATCTGTCCATCTATCCATCTGTCCATCTATCAATCGATCTATCTATCTATCTCTCTCGCCCCTCTCGCTCAGGTTCTCTGCATAATTCCCTGAATCGTGAGTCAGCCAGTCGGGATCTCTCTGCGGCAAGCAAACACGCAGAGAGATCATCTCAGGATCTATGCCATGATGGCGCCACTGATTCTCTCAGGCATGTGGGTTCCTAGATTCAGTGAGTGCGCATGCGAAATTCTGCTGTACCGACCAGGGCTGAGCATGGACCTGAGCAGGATGAGGGTTCATGTTGATGCAGCACATCTGATTCCTTATCGAGGGAGATTTGTCGAAGTCCTAGCCTTCTCCAGGCTCATGCCATGTCTGTTGTGGTTTCCAACCTGGCTGGCGGGGTGCTGGCCGAAATCAGTCCAGTTCCCACATGTCTCGCGGAGCTGAACTTGCGAATCGAGGAGATCACCGGCATTCCTTCGACTCTGCAGAAGCTGGTGAAGGACGGCGAGGTGCTGACTTCCACCGGTGACTTTCCAGAAGAGGCGTTTGATGTGCTGTGCATCAGGGATGAGACACCTCTGTATTCTTGGGATGCGCAGGGCAATCCGCATTCCCATCACATTGAAGTAGAAGGGGCTGTTGTTCGGTGTCCCAACCTCCACACCGACTTTTGCAATGTATTGACCAAAGAACCGATGCGCTCGGGGCTGCACTACTACGAGTTCGTGCTTCACAAGGTGGGTGACGAGCAGTGGTGTGGAGTCACCATGTCACCGGAGATGGCAGGCTCCGACGTTATTCCATCACTCAAAGCTTGGTCCTACTACTGCGGCCGCGCTGGTCGGTCAGGCGGATCTATCCACAATGGCAAGGGAGCGCTACATGCTTATGGGAAAGCTGTGGTAGAGTTCGAGAAGGCATGCACGCCTGGCAACGTCATTGGAATGTTGGTGGATGTTGATAAACGCCTGCTGGCCTTTGCCCTGGACGGGCGGCTTCAAGGTGCCTGCAAGCTTGCAGGACGCGAACCTTTGTACGTTATGACTCACGTGGACACCCCCGAGGATCATGTCGAGTTACGAAAGCCATCCTTAGAAGAAGCGCCTCCTGAAAACCTCGAGGCTCTCAGTCGCGCGCTGCTGGATGCTGAGCAGGGCGAGTCTCTTCATTTCTAGGCCCTAGGCATTTCTAGGCGTCCGGAGCCAACTCCTTTCTCCTTTCTCCTGCAACTGGAAGTCCACACCAATCGGCTCACTGGACAGCCAGCCCCAGGACGATGGCGAAAACTAGCAACGAATGCCAGGACTCAGGACGCCGTTTGTCGTCGGCTGTACCTTCTAGCCCTAAAGCATCCCAGAGCACTGAAACCCTCTAAACCCTCAGCCACAAACTTTGTTTTGGGCATCGAAGAAAGCCCGGGAGGCTTGGTTTGCACGCACGCCGCCTGGACGGCAGAGCCGACTCAGCTTAGCTGGGCCTGGGGTCTGCCCTTGAAGAGCCAACCTTGGTGGCTCAAGGCCCAAACGGGTCCAAAGGGGGCAGTCGTGATTTCGGGAAGAGAGAATCCGACTTCGAACCCCTAACGCAATACAGAATCCTGAATATTTATCTATATAATCCTTTGGGCCTCTTGCCATATTAATCATAGATACTATACTGCAAGATGCCCAAGAAAAGCTGTCCCTGACGACAAAGACCGCTACGTCAAGCCCTCCCATCCCCTGTGTCCAGGCGATCCTGTGGATTCCGATGGGTCTCTTCCAGGTCGGGTTCAGAATATAAACAGTCTAGTATACATAAGCAGTACTAGCATATTATAGAGAACTATATTCATAATATGAATAGTATCAATGCCCGCTTAAATAAAAATAACACAGTGTAGCAAGTGGTGCAATACTTTAGTTATTAGTATACAGTATAAGAATACAGTATAATGATAATGCCATACTGGACAACGCAGGATGATGCTATAATTATCGTGTACTAGTATAGAGAATGATGTAGTATGCGCTAGTTGTAATGCGATACAGTATGATGTAGTATTGAGGGAGGAAGATGATGAGAACGAGAGAGGTGACTGATTTTGGGTTTGGGTTTAAGATATCGGGTCTCGGGGTTAGGGCTAGGGGCTTAGGGTTGAAATCGGTTAGCCGTGTGCAGAGTTTAGGGATCTACAGGACACAGGCAAAGGACGACAATGACCTTGACAAGCGCGATTTCAATGCCGGTGCAATGATTGAATTCACTGGCATGTGCGACCCAACCGCAACACCATTCAAATCTTCACACCATCGCCGCGCGCTTGACTGACAGTGCCGGTGTAAATGCAAAGAGTGCCTCTGTTCCCAGGCACAGGGCTTTGCAGAGTCGCCGTCGTCATCAACACCATTCATCAACCCCCAATACGGTAGCAGTGGCACACGCTTAGTCTTGATGAGCATCGAGAACGCGAGAGGAAGGACATTTTTGTGTAGCTTGCGTATCGTCAGGGCGTGATCGTTCTGCTCGCATACGACGAGTATCTGGATCGCCAGGACGCTCGGATCCTAGAGACATGCGGTTTGCGGGCCACACCTGAATGTTCCAACAGCATCAGAGGAAGCACAGTTGTCTCAGTTGTCTCCACAAGCTGCTTTGGTTCACCGCTTTGCTGTCGCCAGGAGCGCCAACAGCCCGGGCAATCCCACCAGCATCGCGAGACATCGGCCTGGAACCGGTACCACTGTAAGGCGCGTGCCGTTTTGCAGGTCTGGGCTGCTGAATTTCGTGGTGAAGACAGGAGACTCCACCAAGTTTAGATTCATTGCCGCTCACCATGTCTCTCTCTCTCTCTCTCTCACTCTGATATAGCAATATCGTATTTGTAAGGATGAGAAGCATTGAGCCAGGCTGTGGCGGCTTTATGCGAAGGGCTGCCGGCCATCACTGTCTTAGCCTGTGCCTGGTGGAGTTTGTTCCTCGATTGCTTCGATCTCGCAGCTGGATATTGTGGTTCCGGACTGTTACTGCTAATCCTAGTACGAGTACCAGTGCTACTCCGACGGCTACATCGTCGTCACGATCGTTAGCTTCATTTTATTGAAGTCTCATTTTTGCGTGCACGACAGCACTGTGCGAAACACCGGTATTCCAGCACGGTTGTTGTGCGAAGCGCCGTTGTCCCGGCTGTTGCTGAAAGGAACTATCCACCCGAGAAGCCGCTCATGAAGATGTCCTGGCACTTCGAGCGTCCCTTTCTGGGGATTCTGGGAATCCTATCTGCAAACTGAACCGTAGTTCTGCATCCATTTCAGATTCGATGTAGATTTTGCAGACAAGAACATGGTCCCTGGTTGACAGGGTTCCTCTTCCTCCTACAAACTCGTGAGTCTTGTGCTCACGGGATGCCTCGGATGCAACGGTCTAAAGTAGCTTCTAGTACCTCTAGGATGGTTCGAAGACACGCTTTACAAGACGACCACATAACCAAGACATGCTCTTACCTTGGTCCAAAGAGTCAGTGGCTTCAGCTGCAAGGCTGCAGTTAACATCCCTTTGCCCTGGCATGTGCCCTCTTTTCCGCAGGCCTCTCTCCTCCTTCACACCCCGCAGACCTCCTAAACCCTGATCCCAAATCCGAGATTTTGTTAAGAAGAAGTGGCCTTTGATAGTATGGAACCCAAGGAATCATCCTTTTCATCTCCGCCGGCTCCGGCATGGTGGAGCTCGACTTCTGCTGCTCGGGCGCCGTGGCGCGAGAGATGCGCAAGTCGTTGAGGCAGGTTCGAGCCATGCTCATAGCAGCAATAGTAATAGCAACAGCATGCACAGCAAGTCAGAATCAGAATAACAGTAAACAGTCATCATACCGGCGTACGTTGCTTGCCAGTTGTAGGTTGTTTTCCACATCGGCCTCCAGTCCTATGTGTTGCTACACTTCTGCTCCTGAACCCTCAAAGCGCGCATAAAGAGGTACGAGATGCTCCACTTGCTGTTTCGCTTTTGCCCCTTGGCAAAGCTTGGCTTCGTTTGTGCAGAAGGTGAGACATCAACTAGTGTAAGTAATCGTGCCGTCTTGGGTGTGCAGAAATAAGGTGAGACATCAGCTGGTGTCAGTAACTGTGTCGTCTTGGGAATGTCATACCGGCAGACCATCGTGACATATCCCATGGGCAGGCAGATCCACGTGAAGCGCGCATCGCAAGTACCGTTTCGTGCATTTCTCCCTCTCCCATCCCTTTGGACATTTAAGGACCGACATCATGAGCATCACTGGATCATGAATCATGAGTATCATTCGGACCTCGTTTCTCCTCGTCCTCCATAGGGCCCCTTGAGCGCCGTGTTCGTTCTTTTGCTGTCGCGGGGCTCAGTGGATATAGTCAATATAGTCAGGGGCAATGAGCCTGGATGGCTGCAAAGCATGCGCCTCGTGGGTGGAAGGGTCCAGGCTCTGGTCTCATACAGATCCTGACATGGCGTGACGGGAGCTCTACCACAAACTGCTCCACAACATGTCTTCTTGCTCGCGCAAGCCGAAACGGGGCTTGCGAGAAACCAACACTGACTTGTGTCCATTTTTCAAGAAGATGGAGTCTGAGAAGGGCAGGTGGCTTCGCATGCACGGTAGCTCTTTTCTCAGCGGGCTACAGTGTCCGTACGGGCCACACTTGTTCTCCTTCGCTCTTCCGGGATGGTTTCTACACGAAAAAGTGCTTCCGGGAATCATCCTGAACCAAAACCCTAAAGGCCCTAAACCCTAAACCCACAATGCAAGAAGCTGCGGCTGTTGCACCGGGAGCCCCTGAAGCTCGGAGCGGACAGCGCGGGGGGAGGTTGTATCAGAACAGACGCGAAGCCGGCGAAGCCTCTTGCGAACGGGGGTCGCCGGATAATTCAATCGGGATGTGCGGTTTAGAGTTTAGGGTTTAGGGGTGTAGGGTTTAGTTGTGTGTGTACAGACGTTCATATGCACATATGTCACATGTACATTTGAGTACATTTGAGTTGGACTCACGTCTTCCGGAGAATACTGATAGCGGAACAGAGAAGGTGGAGCAGAGAACTAAGGTGAGGTGCTGAGTCGAACAGCCCCCTCCTCAGTCTCAGCCTATATAGTTTTAAACGGTTTGGGGGTTAGGGTTTAGGGTGCTGGGAAAGGTCTTTGGGTATCAGGGTTCAGCGTTTAAAGGGGTGTTCTGGTTCAGCCTGTAAGGTTTCTGAAGTGTCAGGTGATGATGGTGGCCTTTGTTGTGACCACTCGCCATTTGGTCTCTTGGTGGTGGTGCCCGGCAGCATCCAACATCATCTTCACGTACCTTCTCGTGCCTGTGCCCTGCATTGGCGGTGCTTTGTTCCAAAGGGATCTGGCCCGGCCGGCTGATAGGATCCTATACCACATTCTACTATACCGTACTATGCTATAAACTCAATGGTGAGGTGTGATACGTGTGTGGCTAGCGATGGGCCAGGGATCAGAAAGCCAACGCAAACGGCAAAGGCCTCCCAGTAAGTTCTTGCTTGGAACAGGTGCTTTACCATGGAGGTGACGAATGCCGATCATCCGTACGACTGCTGTGCAGCATACCCTGCGCATGGGTCGCACGGCTTAGCATCATTGCACAAAATGTGAAGGTATCACTGTCTATCGGAGCCTCGCTTGCTTTTTTCCTTTACACCCGTCGCTATCTCGAAGGTCAATCTCTTCTTCTTCGTGGACTCGCCTTACAAGCGGCGAGCAGCCCGGAAGATCTCCAGGTGGGCTTTACCATGCTGCTACTGCCACTGCTACAGCAACAACTAAGCCAACAAAAACCAGCAAGAAAACAACAACAGCAGCAGCGACAGCAAAGGCAACAGCAACAACGACAATAACAGCAGCAACAACAACAACAACTACTACTGCTACTGCTACTACTACTACTACTACTACTACGACGACGACTACGACGACGACTACTACAACTACTACAACAACAACTACTACTGCTACTGCTGCTACTACTACTACTACTAC